TTGTTTTCGAACTTTTGGAAAAGTTCGATACTTAAAAGGATTCTAAATTTTTGATTCATGATAAGGAAAACACAGAATTGATGAGGCTCGAAAGCCTCAGTACCATGCAATGACTGTTTCTAACAAAATAACACATTAAATGCCAGAAAGTTAGATGCCAGCTTCATCTCTATAAATCTTTAACATACACTGCACTCAACTGTAGGAAAGAGCTACATTGCAATCAAGATTCATCAAACAAACTTCCGGATTATTTTCCTAACCACCAGTTTAAGTTCGAACCCTAATTACTAGGATGTGAAGAAAGCAGAAAATGCACTTACTGTGGTTTGTATTCCTTTGCCGTAATATCGAATATCCCATGTCCTTCAAATGATTAAAGCTCCTTCTCTATTAAAGGAAGTGCTCGACCTACACATGAAGCATGTCTATACTATTAAGTAAACTCATTATTGTATAAAACTTCCATGTTTCTCATGTATAAGCCAAAAAATAAGCTAAAGTCGGAAACTTATCTGTTTACTGCTCTATCTCTGATAATAGTGTCTCATTATATCACCTGAAAACAAAACGCAGTTATATGAACAGCCTTTTATGCTACTGGAAAAGGAAATTCTGAGAAGATTGTTAGGAAATCATTCCAATCTAACCTGAATAAGAAATCTAGAAAAAGCAACGTGTATATTTAGAATTTTGTCTCATGTCCTCATCAAGANAACCTTGACTTCTCAATCTGCCTCAAGTCCATCATCATATTGTTGTGTATCAGAGTATGAAGATAAAGAAAACAGATTAGATATAATTTTTTGTATTCTACAAACCTATACTATTAAAACAGATTTATTATTCAATTATAATAGATTTAATTGGAAATAGCCGTGTATATTTAGACCAGAAAACAAACCGTTTAATTCTCTCTCATAATTTCTTTCGGACAAACGATTTTAAATTAAAGGATATTGTACAAAACATATTATTAAAAAGTACATCGATTATCCTAAACAAACCTTTACATGGAGGTTATGTTTATGTCTTTCCTTGGTCGATCAAGCTCTGGATGTTTTTCCAGATCGATTTCACCAAATTTCACATGCAAAACAAATCAAAATAAAATATATATTGATGGTAAGTTCTTTAAATTAATCATATTTAACCAAATTTCACATGAGATTACCTATACCATTTCGTTGTATAGATCGGAAAGGCTCATCTCTCAGTCTTCGATTTATCCTTCTCAATTCAGATCTTGAATTAGACGAGATCTGTAAAAGAATGAAATACAAAACTTAGAAAGAAAGATCGAACTTTAAAGGTAATTGATTTAGAACTACTAAGTGTATATTATCAAAAAGAAAAGTGGTGTATTATATGTAAGAAGAGATCGGAGAAGACAACCTTCTGTCGGTGGATCTAGATCGACATATCGCCTTTCTGGTTCCACAGAGAGAGACGTTTTTTTTTTTTCAAAGCGAATACTTGTTGGTAATAAAAAATCAGATGTTGTCGGTAAACAACATATTTGTGTATTGTGTTTAATCAAATAGGCCCATCGTATGTTTCCCAGATTTGGCCCATTATCTGTTAAGGTTTTAAAAATATTGGGTCTTTAAAATTATTATGGATTGAAATTCATATTAAATTTTACAGCCTATTATTAAGTTTGGTACAAATAATTTATAGATATTATTTGTATTCAAATTTTATTATCAAGTTTGGTAAAATTCATAACTGTATAACTAATTCTAATTAATATAATTTATGAAAATTACCAAAAAATAGATTAAATTAATATAAGAATCAAAAAAAATTGTATAATCTAATTCAAATTAATATAATTTATAAAAATTACCAATTACATAGATTAAAAAAGAAAAAAACAGCATTTTAACAATACAAACATTTTGTATAGATTAAAAATTAACGTAAACATAAAAAAATCAACTTCTAACTAAAATCATTAACACACTTGGTATACATTTTATATAAAAACACATTTGTTATAATAAAAAATAAATGTCACATGAAACATACCCGCGCTTCCGAAGCGCGGGTCAAAATCTAGTTCTCTATTATATGTAAAAGTTTCTCTTGTTCTTCTAATAGATCTGAGTTTTACATTTACTTACTAAAATCGGTACATTTTACGTGGGTACAGTCTTAATTAGCTCTAGTCTAGATATATTAAGAAAATTCTTTCTTCTTCTTTCCAGACGCAACCAAGATTCAAGGCAATATAGGATACGGCTCGTATCCCATACTATAAATGATGTAACAACTAGAGATCTGGATGCTCGTTGAAGTTGTCAAACCATGTCTTAGGTAATGTGTTATTCAACATTAAAAATAAGAAGAGCATACATACACTTACTAAGTAAGAGTATAAAAAAAAAAAAAAAAAAAAAAAAAAAAAAAAAAAAAGAAAGTAAGAGTACAGAAGAATCGGGAAAGCAAGACAAGAACGTTCCAAAGGCTATGCTTTTTGTCTTGTTCTTGTCTGACTTAGTCTAAAACCCACTTTATACGTTCATATTTTTGTTGCATAACAAAAGTTAAATTAAGGAAAAAAAGCGTTTACGTTGACTTTGATTGACTTACCGTCCTCGATAATCCACAAACAATCCCCCGTTTCACGGCAATCTACAGTAGTGACAAAGCGACGAAAAATATATTCGTTATATAAATGAGAGCTTCATGAAGTAGTAATGTAGACAAAACTGAAAGAAGTCAGAACCATGTCTTCTTGCACCTCTTTCATCTTCCTTGTCCTTTTCGCCTTCCTTGCTAGCTCCACAGCTTCTGCTCAAAATCCTCATTACACATACCATTCATGCTCAAATACAACAACTTATTTAAAGAACAGCACTTACTTCGACAATCTCAAAACCCTTTTGTCTTCTCTCTCTTCCCCTGACGCCACATACTCCACGGGGTTCCAGAACGCCACGGTGGGACGCGATCCCGACAGGGTCACAGGACTATTCCTCTGCCGGGGAGATGTCTCTCCTGAAGTTTGTCGTCGCTGCGTCGCCTTCTCAGTCAACGAAACCTTAACTCGGTGTCCGAATGAGAAAGAGGTCGTGCTTTACTACGATGAGTGCATGCTCAGATACTCTCACCAAAATATTCTATCGACAGTTATATACGAAGGAGGATTTTTCATGTTTAACGGCAATATTTCATCTGATCAAGAAGACCGGTTCGAAGATTTGGTGTCAACAACGATGAACCAAGCTGCCGACAAAGCAGCTAACAGTTCTAGGAAGTTCTATACGACAAAAGCCAATTGGACCGCACTCCAGAGTTTATACGGCCTGGTTCAATGCACTCCTGATCTGTCAAGATATGACTGTTTGCGTTGCCTACATCAATCCATCGATGGAATACCTCCTAATAAAATTGGGGGTAGACTTTTCTGGCCTAGTTGTAATGCAAGGTACGAGCTTTACTTGTTCTTCAACGAAGACACTGGAACACCTCCAGAACAACATGCACCGCCCCCACCATCGCCATCACCGCTACCACCTCCTCCCGCTTCTATTTCTCCGGTCTCATCTCTTACACGAACTGGTGAACTCTTTTTATCTTCCTCTGTTATTTACTCTGATTTGTCAAAATATTTAATACTATCCGATCTCAAGAAAATGATTTTTTTTTAATACGCAGGTAAACATGAGAATTCAAAAGTGTTAATAGTAGCCATCGTTGTGGGTATTGTAGTGGCTGTTCTGATTTTCGTAGCTGGCTATTGTTTCCTTGCAAAGAGGACAAAGAAGACTTCAGATAATGCACCTGCCTTTTATGGTAAAACCTCCAGTGAATAACAACCTTAACTAGGTTTAGATTATGTCACTCACTTTTCTTTTTGTCTTTTCTGATTACTATGACTTATTGTGCAACAGGAGATGATATTACAACCATTGAGTCGCTACAACTTGATTATAGAACTATTCAAGCTGCAACAAATAACTATTCTGAAAATAATAAAATTGGTGAAGGTGGATTTGGTGAGGTTTACAAGGTACTATTCCTTAACTTTGCGTTAGGTTCTGTACTTTTTTCCTCGAAAATTTATGTCAACACATTTGGATGATGATAGAGTGCTGATGAAAACTGACAGGGAACATTCTCGAATGGGGTTGAAGTTGCGGTGAAGAGACTGTCAAAATCATCAAGACAAGGTGACATAGAGTTCAAGAACGAGGTTGTAGTTGTTGCAAAGCTTCAGCATAGAAATCTGGTTAGGCTCCTAGGATTTGCTCTAGAACAAAAAGAGAGGATACTGGTCTACGAGTATGTGCCCAACAAAAGCCTTGATTACTTCCTCTTTGGTCAGTTGCAATTATTGCTTTGTTTCAATAATTATTTAGCCATATTCTTGAAACTTGGGATTACAAGTCTTTAGAGTTTACTATAATTCCATGGATGCGTACACACAGACCCTGCAAAGCAACGTCAGCTCGACTGGACTCGACGATATAAGATCATTGGAGGGATTGCCCGGGGGATTTTGTATCTCCATCAAGATTCACCGCTCACAATTATACACCGTGACCTCAAAGCAAGTAACATTCTCCTGGATGTGGATATGAATCCAAAAGTTGCTGATTTTGGAATGGCAAGGATATTTGGAATGGACCAAACCCAGGATAACACAAGCAAGATAGTTGGCACCTAGTAAGTCTTCCACTCAACTTCTTGTAAAATGAAGTTTGTTAAACATGATTTTGTCAATTTACCAAATTTTTGTTGTGGGTTTCAGCGGTTACATGTCTCCTGAATATGCTCTTCATGGACAGTTCTCAATGAAATCTGATGTATATAGCTTTGGAGTGTTAATTCTTGAGATTATAAGTGGCAATAAGAACAACAGCTTCTACGAGACAGACGGTGCTCACGATTTGGTCACATATGTAAGTTTAAAGGCAATCCAGTTTTATATTTAGCTCTCTTACAATAATAAACAGTTTTTGCAAGAATTGACTGGTTGATTGATATTCTAGGCTTGGAAGCTCTGGGGTAATGGAACAGCTTTAAACCTCGTGGACCCAGTTATTATCGATAGCTGCCAGAACAGTGAAGTGATTCGATGCATCCATATCTGTCTCTTATGTGTTCAAGAAGATCCTGTAGATCGTCCGACCTTTGCAACCATTTCTGTAATGCTCACTAGTAACACTGTTACTTTACCAGTACCTCGGCAACCAGGGTTTTTCATTCAGAGCAGATCTGGAAGAGACCCACTTGATTCGGATCAGTCTACTGCTACCAAGTCTGATCCAACATCTGTTGACGATGCGTCCATCACTGATATATATTCTCGTTGATATGGTATGTTTTACCTTAATGTTTGAACCTACTGGCATTATTGAACACAAGTTAACAACTTTTGTAGCTGTCGAATATCGTTTAGTTCTTAATTTGGCTTTTCTGTTTATTATAGAAATTAAAATCAAATAAAACCATTTGTAAGCCGGCCGTTCGTTTCTCCGTCCAAATAAGTCATCTGAATGGAAATGAAAGTTTTGTTTGTTTAGATACTAAAAGTACAAATCATCTCGATTGCTCATCTGAATGACTTTGTAATTATAGACTAATTTTAAAATCAATTTGGATGCACCAATTTAGACCATTTAAATGGAGATGATTTTGTTAAAATCATACAGAGTCTATTATACCCTTTATATAATTTACAAATCACAAACATAAATCTAATAACATTTTTAACTCACGAAAAAATGAGAAAATCGCATTTTCTCACCAAAATCGAAAAACGTTTTTTCCCACAAAAAAAAATAAAAACATATTTTTTCTGCCAAAACCGGAAAAATGCGTTTTTTCCACAAAAGCCGAAAACACGTTTTTCTACCAAAACTGGAAAATATGCTTTCCCGCAAAAACAGAAAATATGTTTTTCCCGCCAAAATCGAAAAATGCGTTGTTTCCCGCAAAACCAAAAATATGTTTTCCCACCAAAACTGGAAAACACATTTTTCCTGCCAAAACTGGAAAACACGTTTTTCCTGCCAAAACTGGAAAACACGTTTTTCCTGCAAAAATCGGAAAACACGTTTTTCTTGCCAAAAACAAAAAAGCGTCTTCCTGCAAAAATGAACAAAGTGTTTTTCCTGCGAAAACTGAAAAACACATTTTTCCGCCAAAACGAGAAAACACGTTTTCCCGCCAAAAATCGAAAAATGTGTCTTCCCGCAAAAACCATAAAACATGTTTTTCCCGCAAAAAAACGAAAAACACATTTTCCCGCGAAAACAAAAAAAAAACGTGTTTTCCCCGTCAAAACTGGGAAAACACTTTTTCCGCCAAAAACCGAAAACATGTTTTCCCGCAAAAACTAAAAAACGCTTTCCCGCCAAAATCGAAAAACGCATTTTTCCTCCCAAAACCGAAAATATATTTTTTCTGCCAAAATAAAAAAAAACGTGTTTTTCCTGCTAAAAAATGTTATTTTTTTCCACCAAAATCGAAAAACGTGTTTTTCACTAAAACATGTTTTCTCGTAAACCGTAAAAATGTATTTCCTGCCAAAATGTATTTTTTTGTAAAACGCGTTTTATCACCAAAATTAAAAATGCATTTTTTCGCAAAACTGAAAATTGTATTTTTTCTTGTCAAAAACACGTTTTACCGCAAAACTCGCTTTTCTCCAAATTTACAAAAATGCGTTTTTCACAGAAAAATGAAAAAGCCAAAATGGCAAAATGTTAATTTTAAAATAATTGTAATATATATTTTAGACTAAATAATAAATTAGTATAGTATAATAAATATTAAACATATGATTAAATTCAAATAAGAGTATATTTGTAAGAGTCTTTGAAAGAGAAAGACGCAAACTGATAAAAAACCAATGGAAGAGAAAGAGCTCGAATCGCATGGATGAGAAAGAGCTTGAAAGAGAAAGACTCTTTCAAACCAATTAAACGCGTCTTTCTCTTTCATACTGCAGATGCTATCGCCAAATCGGCTCTTTGTAACTCAAACTCATTTGCGCCTGCTTAAGGCCTTTTTCTAATCAATTGGTAGTTAAAGAAAACTAATGAACATTTGCATTGCAGCTAATAAACAAATTTCAACTATACATCCCCCTGCAATATGGTCGACGGTGCAACAAACAAATTTTCAAGGTGAAGGTGAATTCCGCTAAGATTTAAAAGATTGGTTAAGTGCATGTTAGATATATTGAAATATTTTCTTCTGTGCAAGTTTGTATTACAGTATATCTTGGCTACATTATAATCTCACTGATTTTGTCATCATAACTATTGTATATGTGTTGCCCAAAAAAAAAAAACTATTGTATATGTTGTTAGTTAGTTTTATTGACATTCTTTCTTTGTATATATAACAGAGACATTTTCATCAATAATAGTGAATAAAGTCCTTTTACAATAAAACTTCGAGTGATGCTTATTAGTCTTGCAATATCTAACTGACTTGAATATGTATGTTGGCTCTGAAATTAGATGGATTTTGTAAGAACTTAACGGTATACTAGAGTTTCACCCGCACATCCGTGCGGATATATTTTTCATTTTATAAATATATAACTAAAAACTTTAAATATATGTAAAAACTTTAAATATATGATTTATATTTTAGTTTTAATTAGAATTATATCTAACAACAAAATAAAGAAATACTTATTTTATAAAAAATATTTAAATTTTTTGGTAAGATTTTATTAGATCTGTTTCAAAAGATTTTGTTATATTTAAATTTATTTATTATTAATATTCTTATTCATTATTAAGATATTTTGAAAATAATATATATTTGACTTTTTAATATAACAATCAAATATGTCAAATTAAATAATTAATGACATGGTCCAACATGACTTCTTAATAATAGATAAATTTGGTACTTCTCTTTTAATAGAGAAGATGAATTTAAGAATTTTAACCAAACTGGTTAATTTACTAAGCTTAACCAGGTTAACAAAGTTATTAAATGCATTCATATTGATCTATTATATGTTTTAAGAGAATCCTGCATTTCACCAGGGGTGAGTACAATGCTTCCAAGTAGCAGTTTCCCTAGCAGATCCCGAAAACATGATTTTTTCTGGCTGATCGATGAGTTGATTATTCAAACAGATTTCTGTTGAAGTTTTCAAGAAACGAAAATCCAAAGATGATTTGCATCTTATGTCTGAGGCATATGATACTTTTGTAAAATCAAATACGATTTGAAGATTTTCCACTATATTATACAGTTCTTTATATAGATGATGATGATGTTGTTGTAACTTATAATATAAACTATATTTCATAGGCATTAATGATATTTGTAGATGGGTCTGTCTCTCCATTTTGTAGGAGTATGATGTGCACGCAACTTCTTCGATTTTTCTCCATATATAAGAGTTGAAAAACCAATGACACTGATACATTAGCCCAATGTTCTCTGGTCCCTTTCCATCTGCCTATGCAGCTATGCTTCGTTAGGTTTTGAATGATTGACATTTTTATACTATATTAACAAAGAAATAAAATGTTTACATTGACTCTTGACTTATATATGTCTCTTCATTTATGACTGTATATGCGTAAATGGAGGAAAGAGGACCACTGTGTAGTTGAAAAAAGCAGAAGGGAGGCAGGTGTTTATAAGTTTGAATTAGGCTGGACATTGGGGGTAACCAATCAGGTTTCGATTCGGGTTCAATAGGATTTCAGATTTTTGGATTTAGGAATTTCAGCTCCTTTCGGAGATTATAAAATTTTAGTTCGAATTTGATTGGGGTTTGGTTCGAGTTTAGTCGGGTTCGATTCGGGTTTAATAACATATCCAAAAAGCGATTGAATTTAATATAACTTCGAAGGATCTTAATCGGGCTTTCGCTTTCAAAATATTGTTTTGTACTTATTTAAACTTGAAAACCAAATAAAGATATAGTGTAACAAAGCCAATAATCCAAAATTCAAAATGAGAAATGCTTTTGTCACAATTTGTTTTGGTTTTAGTATAAATTTTGACTAGTGAATTAGAGAACAAGGATAATAAAATTAAAGAACAAAACTCAAAAACTATGTGGGAACTCATTACATCCAATAAACCCAAAACGAAAATACATCTAGCCCGATAAAATCAACTATAAAAAATAAGGAGGAAAACCAAACATCAAAATATACTAAACTAATTATTCTAGTTAATTATTCATGTCATGTTTTTTTGGAATTTTAAAATTCACAATCCGAAATACCATTAAAAATATCATTCGATATCTATGACGGATTTGGTTTGGATTCAATTTTATCGTTCTAGCAATTAGATAGCAAAGAAACTTCGATTTTTATTTTGAACTTAACCAATGGTTGGGATACTGAGATAAGAAAGCTTGAAATAGCTTGGAATACAAGCTATCCTAATCCTACTAAGTGTGATTGTCTAAAAGGATTAGAAAATATTTTAAAGTGTTTTTACTAATGAGTTTAGGAATTTATTGAGTCCTATATACAGAATTGCAGAGTTGTTGCAACCTATGTAGTTTTTGAGAGATTGCTTTGAGAGTGCTTGAATTTTGAGGATTTTTTTCTTAAGTGATTAATAAGAGAAGCAACTTCTTGTTAACGTGTTCTTATACAAATTGAGTGATTCAAAACAATAAAGACAACACCGTTGCAACAATTCTAAGGGGAATACGACCATGGCAAATGATTGATTGAATGATTTGAATTATTTACTGAACAATTCATTATTCTCGCAGTGCAGATGGTGTGCTAAGTAAACTCATTGTAGGATCCAAGAGAACTTAGAGCTCACGAGTCTTAGAGCTCATTGTAGACAGAGATTTTGGGCATCCATAAATTTTTAGCAGTTCATATATATAGATGCGAATGGTGATCAAGTTATATAGGAAGAAAATTATAGATATACCCAAAAAGGTATATGTCTCACGTAAAAGATGATTGTGTTAGTGGGGCTGTGGGTCTGTGACCATTATTGGGAACTATGGGAAGGGAATCAAACATTATACTGTATGAACAGAAAACAAAAAAAAACACTGACTTAGTCTTTAGATTTTAGTCTCTCTTTTTATGACCGTATATCAGTTTTTCGAAGTCAACGCTTCAAAATTCGTAGAGAAACTTCGGTAGCTGATTAAATAGTAAAACCCGAACATAGAAATGCTTAACACTGAAACAACGTTATTGCTAAATTGTTTTTGAGAAAATGAAGCTGAGGAGTTCCTTATCAGTTCTCTGTTTTGTTCTCATATCCATCGGTGTGGCTACTATCTCATCACAAACATGCATACAGAACCGTAAGTATTTCATACCCAACGGTACATAGGATGCAAATCGTCGTCTCATCCTCTCTTCTCTTCCTTCCAACACCACTGCTCAAGACGGTTTCTACAGCGGTTCGGTTGGCGAAGAACCGGACAAGGTCTACGCTGTAGGGATGTGCATCTCAAGATCAAGTCCTAGTGACTGTTCTGCTTGTATCAAGGGTGCATCTGACTGGTTACTTT